GTGGAGTTGCTCGTCATTTAGGCGTGGAGGACCAACGTGGGGGGAAATCTTCTGGGATTCGTCTTTGGAGCAATGGATCGGGGAAACCGATTACAGATCGTGGCATCGTGCGCGAACTTACGATCGTGATGGCGCGATTGGCCGACAAACTTCCTCTCGACATTGTCTCTCAGAGCGACGAAGAACCCGTGCCACATACCCTCTCAAGGACTCTCGCCCCGAGCCTCCAGTGGTCGACTTGTATTGAGGAGCGCTGGGCGGACGACCGTTTTCCCTCCCGTAGCGAGTACCTGGACGTCCACAGACTGACTAATCCCCGCTTCTTTCGGCAACCAACGGCGTACGAGTGGGCGGCGCTGAGAGCAGAAGAGGAGGCCGAAGAGGAATCGGAAGGAGAATTGAGGAGAGAGGCCGGGGAGCAGTGGCCCGATTGGCCGAGGACGAGAAGAAGAGAGGCGAGCTCGAAGCAGAAAAAGAGTCGGCGGAAGCTGAAGAATAAGAAGAAGAAGAAGTAGAGGAGGAGACTTCGGAGGAAGAGGAAGAGGCCTATAGCGAGTACAGCGAGGGCAAGCAAAGTGAGGAGGAGGACGAAGACGACGAAGAAGTGGAAAGCGGGGACGACTAGGAGCCAACGCACGACGAGCTCGAGTGGGTGCCAGGACCGGATCGGCGAGAGGAGAACCCGGAGGCTGTTGCGCAGCGCAAGAAAGAGATCATGTAAGGAAAGCGACTGGCGATCGATCCCGCACCGAACGATCCTTTCAAGGGTCTCGAGCCGCCCAAGCCGGAACATGGAGACCTTGCTGCCACGACCTCAGGAGCCGCGACGACAAGGCGCCGATCCCGATCCTGATCCACGTCCCCCTCCGCCTCCGCCCGTCCCCCAATTCGTCAACGTGTCAATGAGGGGCTTAGCCCTTCGTCCCCGATCCCTATACCACCATCCGCTTAGCTATCTCTCTTTCAATCAGTATTTCCATCGCGTCGTCTACCCCCGTAATCCCTTCCCCCTCGCCACCTTCCGACATTTCTACTCCGCCCGCCTAGAACTGACTGTCCACCCCCACCCTTCCGTTCGGTGTGCTGTCCCCGACTATTCCCTCCACGTTCTACTCCTTAGCGCCGCGTGGCGAGGCCGTAACCATATAGAGGTTTACTGCATCGTTACAGGGACCTTCCCCGCATGCGAGAACCATGATCGGTTCCGCACATACGTCCTCCGAACCCTCGTATCCCTTTACCCAGACTACCTCGTCTCCCTTCCCCGCAGCGGCCAGAGATTCCCCCGCTTCCATCGCATTGTCCGTTTTCAAAAACTTCCTTACGACCTCACTGCGATCGGGCGCTTCATACCCGAGCTTACGATGGAGCCGCCCCACCCTCCTTCATACGCGTATCGCCTTCCCTTCCCCCTTCCGGTTAATTACTGATGCAGCGGTAATGGACGCGTGTCGCGGCGACGGCACGAGAAAGATCCCGTATTTGGATCGTCGAAGAGCCCAATCTGAGGAACTAGTAGAAGAGCAGAGTTGCCACGTTGGATGACGTCCACACGCAATCGAACAGTAAGTGCAACAAAAAAAAAATCCAGAATTAAATAATCATTCGAGAGTAAAATTACATTCTAAATTTTTAATTTTCATTCCATCGTAAAAAATGTCATTCCAATTTTAAAATTTTCCGTCTTACTTGAAAATTTTCCTTCCAAGAATGGGGTATCCCTTCTTATTTGAACTGCATGTTAGAGATGGAATGAAAGTCTGAATGAGTTCATGAAATATTTTAATTGGACCGCCATTCTAAGTAAGGATTTCCTGTCATAAATAGGTTAATTCAATCTAAATTAGACGATATTTGTTGTAGTAGAATGAAAGTCTAATTAAAATATTTCATAAACTCGTCCAGACTTTCATTCCATCTTGAGCAAATAGATGTAGTTGGAAGGGAAAGCTAATATTTAGACGGGAACTTATCAAATTAAATTAGAAATTTTAGAATTTGACAAACATTGGAATGATAATTTATAAATATGAAGGATTTTTTTTTTATGGAATGTTTTTTCAACTTTCATTTCTCATGGGAATTTTTCTGTTGTGGCATACAGAGAATTGCTCCGCGTGTCGATCAATTAGAGAAATCGACACGTGTCAACAAGCAAGCAGGAACTTGCTAATATTGGAGCCCCCTATGCATCACACATGTGACGAACCACTTTTTGTAACGCGCGATTTTCTGCTCGGTTGCAATGAGGGGTCCTAAGCTGGGAAGATTGGGCCAATTACGGGAGATCGGGATCGGTGAAGAATTGCATCAGTATCCTCGTTTTTTCGTCATTTTTCGTCATTTCTTTTTTCGAATGGCCAAGCACGGGGTCGGGTGTGTCTTCGGACGACCGGTGGATTGATTGGTCGGATGGTTGTTTGGCGCGACGCCACGCGCGCGCGCGATTAATAAATGTCGACGTCGTTTCTTCAGTTCGGTTTCGATCTTTTTGGGCGCGGACATCGCACGGAAAATTGCTTCGTTCTTTTTTGAAATTCCTCTTGAATCTTTTTCGAATTTTATCGAGCCCCCAATGGCTCTCAGAATTTCGAACTTTCCTTCTGGAATTCGTGCTTTTTGTTTTTTCGCATTAAATAGGAATTTAGGAATTCAGTAATTATGATTTTTTCTGCCGCGCGGCGCCTTTTGTTTACGAGCTTCTTCATGCGGCTGCAACGGTACTCTGATTAGTGGGCGCCCTTAATCGTATGTGTAACTGTAATTTGGGCGGGTGCCATTCTAACTGTATCTCCCTTCTTGCACTTCGTGTCTCCCGCCCTCCCTCTCTTTCTTTTGCTGAAATTTTGTAAGTCACGGCTTGCATGCTCGGATCGATGCGTGGAGAAGGGTTACGTCCCCCACGCCGCGGCCGATCATGCAGAACGCAGGCGTTCCCTCTCTAATCTTCACTCTAAGTCTTGGTAACTCCGTATTCTTCGCGCATGCAAGCATGCTATAAATTTCGGCTGCGCGATTAGTCAGCTCTCTTAACCCGTTGTTGGAAGGTCGGGGTTGCACGATCAGGAAGGGTCGGCACACGAGCGAAGTAAGAGGTGAGTAGAGTTGGAGTTGGGCGACCCGACGGGCTGGTGCCAAACGCGCGGCATTGACGTGGGCCACGGCGGACTGTGGGCACGAGCGAATCCGACGGGTGCGGGAGGATTAAGCGGGGTGACAACTTCGTGGATTGGTGCGTGACGACGGACTGTCCGCATCGGAGGGAGAGACAGAGAGGAGAAGGGAGTTGAGGTTGATGAACGTGGATTTGCTGTTTCTTTGTCTCTTCTCCCTCTTCATCTGTGTACATACATTTTGATTGCGGCTCCGGAAGGTTTGCCCGTTCTTATCTTCATTTCGGCTCTCTGGAATCTGGACTTGGGTTTTTGCTCATCCCTGTCCTTGCGATGGAATTATGTGTATGATTGTCGAATGTATGGATGCATGAATGGTATGCCTGCTTGTCTATCTTTTTGCGGAGAATCCCTGCCCTTACTTTTTGTTTGTGTCGAATCCTTGCTTGCACCGGATGAAGCGATAGATGGGATAAGAATCTGGCCCCGATATCGATTTCGTGCTCGTTTTTGCTTGTCCCACGATGAGGTTGTGGTATGGTTGCATCTTGCATAGCCGAAACTTACGAAGCAATTAGGCGATCCGAAGTCCGGACCCGCGAGCGCCGCACGAGAACACATGTAAACGCGATCCGAGTCGCGCCCCTACACACATTCCCGTGCGTAGACTCGCTCACCCCAAGGAATCATCGGCGGAACCATCATCCCGTACGAGCACGCTGAGGCGCCACCAAGTCGGCCTGTCCTACACGTGCTCGTGCGCGGTGACGATATCCCGACCCGCGCTATCCCATCTACAATGATACCATGATGCGATCTTGGGGCTCAAACTCGTCCTATGACCCGGACTATTTCACCCCTATAATAAACGAGCTCATAAGGACGCGATACCCTTGTCACACGGAGAATCGGCTATGTCCGCGGGAATTCCACTGTGCCACCTATAGCGACCCTCGGTGCTCCGATTACCCTTCCCCCGACCACACCTACTACTTCACCCACCCGGGATTCGTTGAGATCACCACCAGTTTCGCTCCTTTCCGCCTCCTTCTCCCTTATCATCAACTCAGTGTCGTCCCGTGGCCGGCCATAGCCCCCTATTGGCCCAACACGTTTTGCGTAAACTGCCGATGCAACAGCGCACGAAGAACCCCGGAATTCCGAAGGCCCAACCCAACTACGCGGCGGCTCGCAGTGTCCCGGCACCTCCGGACTGTGAGGCCCTTGCGCGCGTACCCCMCCCCCCCCCCGGTTCGCCTAATTGCGTCCATACCTCTACGACTCCCCCACTTCCCCCAAAAATCCTTGGCACACCCCTTTTCGCACTTCCAGGCCCACACTCCACTCCGATCAGGAAGTCGCGCTGGGCGTGAGGTTGGGCGTCACAGTGCACCCCTATCCAGGACTCATAGATAGGTCCTCGTGTACACAGGCCTTTGTACCCCTATCTATGGGTACACTCGACCATACTCACACGAGGACTTTCCGCAATCCAGGAAAGTCCTCCTGTGAGACCTATCTATGGACGTGATTGCGGTCAGCTTGGACAAGCGGAGTACAGACGAGGACTTTCCTGGATGCACCTGACCTCAATCCAGGAAAGTCCTCTTGTGAGTACGGCCGGAGTACCAAGGAGCCTAGGGTAGCTCAGATGGAACGCCCACGAACTGTTGGAAATACAGAACCCAATTCGAATCCAGTTGCAACCAGATGAGCAGAGTAGAATAATTCTGCGTATGGCGTGAGTAACCGCTCACGGTGTGTACTACTGTGTACCTTCCCCCCGGCTCGTCCAAGCTGGCGTCATTTCCAATTCAAACTTGTTGGCGTTTTCGCGCCCTTTAGCACCGTCCGTCTTCTCGTCGCATCGCTTGCTGCTGAAGCTCGCGTGCTCTACTCACCATTGTGCTGCCCCTGCATTGGCCTCGTACGTTCACCCGCTAAGCACTGACGTTCAGGCACGCACGCACTACTCCTTTTGGGACCAAACTCCTCCTCCTCCTCCTCCTCCTCCGGTTCCTGCTGTTCCTCCTGATCCTCCTCCTCCGGTTCCTGTTGTTCCTCCTGATCCTCCTCCTCCTCCTCCTCCGGTTCCTGCTGTTCCTCCTGATCCTCCTCCTCCTCCTCCTCCGGTTCCTGCTGTTCCTCCTGATCCTCCTCCTCCTCCGGTTCTTGCTGTTCCTCCTGATCCTCCTCCTCCTCCTTCCTTCTTTCTTCCTCGTCGTCGTCCTCCTCCTCTTCCTACCTTTCTTCCTCCTCTTCCCACCTTTCTTCCTCCTGCTCCTCATGTTCCTTCTCCTCCTCCTTTTCCCACCTTTCCTCCTCCCTCGTCTCCATCTCCCCGTTCTAGCTCTCCGTCTCTATCCTCCTCCCTTCTCCTCTACTCAGACGTCGTTACGTTCATTCCCCCTCGTTGTTTTCCAGCCCCCTCCTCTCAACCAACCTCCTCCTCCTTCATCGCGTTCTCTTCTCCACCACCTCCACTCCTTCCTTCTCCTCCCCCTCCTCATCCACCACCCCCTTCTCGTCCGCCCCGTCGCGCTCCACCTCCTGATTCCAGACGATGCGTGTCTCTCCGCTGCTCAACGCATGTACCCCTGGACTGACCTGTCGCCAAGATACATCGGGGACTGACCCACGCATCTGGTCTATACCAGCTTCCGATCCATTTGGAATGTTGTGTGGGAGCGACGCCCCATGAGTGGCAATGAGGTGTATTGCTCCCTCGTTCTTTCTTTGGCTCGTCGCATATCTGATGAGTTGCTCTGCCTGCCATCTCTCACCCCCGCCCCCACAAAAAAAAGGACCAAAGAGAACACAACATGTCATCCGCGCTAAGCGTACCCTTGTCAGATGACAGAGGAAGGCCGGCATACCAAATTGTCGAGCAGTGATGGCCTGCCCCCATCTGCAATTTACGCGCCGACCCCGCCAGATCACAGCTGGCTTTCCAGTGGTGACCGATTCGGATCTGTGGGCAGACCTACCAAATTCTTGTGGTTCCCGCCAGATCACAGCTGGCTTTCCAGTGGTGACCGATTGGGATCTGCGGGCAGACCTACCAAATTCTTGTGGTTTGACAGCCACAAATGTCTGCCTACCTCAATGGCTTATCAGCGTCAATGTTATACTGCATCACAGTTTGTTACGATTGCTTATCAGCTTGAGGCTGTTGAAAATCAGTTGTTGTATGACCATAATAGCCCACCTCCTCTGAGGGTAGGGAGTAACTATACTACCTCAGGAGGCTTTACTGTAAATGTCTTACAGTTAGCTTTCCATGGTAGCCTTCTTCTTATGCATCATGTGACGCCAGGCAATGACCTCAATGACCATCATCCTCATATTTCTGCCTGTATCTTACACAGACCTTAATGGGCATTATATGGCACTCGTTCGTGCAGCTGCCCAGTGGGAACTGTGGGATGGTGGGACGATGATTCAGGCTATTTCCAACGTAAACTAGTTTTTGGGTGCGTTGCCAAATCATACTTTATTCTGGATTATTGACCGACTCTCGTGTGACACCTGTCGGGGCAGAGACGCGGTGCGTCTTGGTTGTGGCATTCATCATCTATGCCATCAGCATTATCAATCTATTGCGACTACCGCTGTCTGTGCTGAAGGGTGTCCAACATTTCCTCATTGTACACATCCCTATCACCCAAATATACGTTGTCCCTTTTGTGCCCAAGGACGCTATCAGAACTGCATGATGCCGCACTGTGATGAACGTCCTGCTGTTCTTTTGACATGTGGACATCATGTCCTCTGTCAGGACTGTTTTGATGGGATGGTTCGTGCTAGCCATCCTGCTGAATGCTGTGCTGGCGCAACTCTCCTTGGGTATCCTTGTGAACATCCACATCATCCTCACCGTAGCTGTCCTATATGCCGAGGTGGGAACAGTTGAGGAAAGAAAGAAAATAAGAAAATAAGGAAAAAGAAAAGATATGTTGATCTGTGGGATGTGTTATGTGCTTTGTGACAATTGGATTATCTGTGGGATGTGTCATTTGCTTTGTTTCCCTGTCAGGCTTGGTTTCCTCCTCCTTTTCTTTACCTCTTTTTTGCCTTTTGGCTGCGTGCAAGTGGGTCCTTGTGACACACGGGGATGGGGGCAGCCAGCGCTCAACCTGTCATCCACGTGGCTGGCCTTGTACGTAAGAGGTGATGAACAGTTGGGGCTTTCCTTTTTTTTTTCTTTTTTCTTTTTTTTGCTTCGCGCTCTGATTTACAGTGTGACAATATATATAAATATATGTGCAGGGAATCGAACCCGTAATCTCGGATTAAACACAGCCCAGACGCCTTGACCATTGCAACCGTGACCGGGTTGGTATTCACAAGTGGAACCATGGTTGAATCAGATGCGTGGTGGGGCTATAACAAGTCCTCTGTATCCGAGTGAAAACAATGCATGGGTCCTTGGGGGCATCCGTGAAAATTGGAACGATATAGCAGATAATGAAGCTTAGGATGTGGCCCCTGGATGACACGGGTAAATCGAGAAATCGAGAAATGGTCCAAAAAAATATTTATTAGGAAAAAAAAAAAAGCACGAACTGACTTATCGTTAAATTTGAAATATTTTGCTCGTGTGAAGAAAGTGAATGAGGATTTTTTTTTTTTTCTTTTTCTTTTTTTGTCTTTCTTTCCAGTTTTGATCCTTCCAGTTGCTTGCTTGATTGAAGCCCGTATGCATTACCACTAAGTTATGGCCAGGGCCGATGAAATTGAGCAAATATTTTTTCGTCTCTTTTTTTTTTTTTTTTTTTTTTTTTTTTTTTTTGACTCTGGTGCAGATACCCACCTAATGTTCATTTTAAAATACGGTCTCCACTGAAAGAACCCAACAAAAAAAAAACTAAAAAAAAATCCTCGTTCAATTTCTCCACCCGCAAGCAAAATATATCTTGTTATTGTTAATGCATTCGCCCTTCAAGGCACCTAAGTTTCCTGGAAGGGTCAAAACTTCTCAAAAGTGACGACAACAAAAAAATGCCATTGCTCAATTTTGTCCAAAACTTAACTTAAAGGCAGATCGTGTGCAAACTGGCCAGTTTGTACACCCTCAGGGCCTGGCCACACCAATCAGGAAATGTGAAAAAGACAAAATGTGGCAGGTGCATCTGGCCAGGTTCTAGCTGGAAGTTCATTGAATTCCCATTTTGCAAATTTCGAGAGTGGTGTGGCCATGCCCTCAGTTGGTACACACAATGAATTGTTGGAAATTTTGAAATCATGCGGACTGAAGTTCGAATACAGATTCCAGATCAAATCAAACGAACAGAACAAAATAAATTTAAATAATTCTGAATTACCTGGGCCCGGTCAGTTCAATAATGGTACTGGTACCTCAAGGCTGGTGCTGCCCGTTGAAAAAAAAAAAAACAGAAAAGAAGAAATAATTACGCGGGAGTGTGGTGTCGAGTTTTGAATTGGCAGGAGGAACAGGGCAACGTGCCGTTAGAAACTGAACTGCAAAAAAAAAAAAGGCTTTGTGTTCTTCTTCTTCGTCTTCTTCTTCTTCTTCTCTTCTTCTTCTTCTTCTTCTTCTTCTTCTTCTTCTTCTGCTTCTGCTTCTTCGTCTTCTTCGTCAAAAAAAAAACGCTAACCGGTAGCCCTGCTTTCCTAATTCCCCCGCCCCCCCCCCCCCCCCCTGAAATTAGGCTTACCAGTACATAATTAGTCGAGTTCGAGATCCAATGTCTCCTCCCGTGAAAAAAAAAGGAACGGAATTTGAACCCGCGACTGCACTATCGGTCACTGGGAAGAATCTGCCTTCTCCTCATAGGGGGGACAGCCAGATACTTTTCTCTCTCACCTCACATATTCTGTTACCTTGGCGTTAGCGGTCTGCCATATGTCATCATGGAACATAGCTTTCTTTTTCATTACCTACCTATTATTGAACCTAAGGGTATACAAAATAATAGTACAGGGGAAATTGGAAAAGAGCAACTAATTGGAGAATTCAGTAATTACTTTTTTTAAAAAAATTGGACCATTTCTCGATTTGTGCATGTCATCCTTGATTGCACGGGGGCCATGCTAATCTTCTGTGTATCCAATTTTAACGGATGTCGGAATCTGGCCCAAATCACAGTCACGTTCAGGCGGTACCCTTGGCCCTCTTCACTTAGGGGCAGGCCTGACTCTGTCCCAAATCACAGTGGGGTTTCAGCTGGTACCCACAGCTTTCTTGACTTGCCGCACTAAAAATTATTTATCCCTTGCCCTCTTGACTTGCCATGCTCAAATATTTACCCCTGGCTCTCTTGACTTGCCGCACAAAAAAATTCAGGCCGTGCCAAGTGAAGGGCCAGGGCCTAGAAGGCCCTGGACTACATGGCGTCAGTCCGCATCTAGTTAAGGGCCCTAACAAGGGCTACCGTTGTCTTTCCCCGAACGCAATGCACCCTCAGTTTGGCTGCACCGGTATATTTGTTATCAGAGTGCGTAGTTTTGCGTTCAGGAGAAGATGGTAGGGCCTATATCAGGGTGCGTGGTTTTGTGTTTGGGGGAAGATGGTACTAGGGCCTATAAGGCCCTGGACTACGTTGGCCCCAGCCCGTGGCAAGTGAAGGTCTAAGGCCTAAAAGGCCTGGGGCGCGGGACTTGGTACTAAGTGGCCTCTGGCACAAGTCTTCAGAGGATGATGGGACCAAAGTGAATTCGAAGATCGCCTGGCAAGTAGACTGCAACAAGGAGTTTCTCTTGCAAATTTGCAAAAACGATTTATTTATTATTATTTTGTTTTTCTTTAATTTAATGAACTAATGTACTCCTAAGGCTTGCTTTTCCTGCAGATGGTGGGCAACACGGTCACTTGTAAAGGGCCATCATCCTTGGACGGCAGGATGCGAGAGGGTCAACAAATTTGCGAAGAGGTGACACGTGTATGCTGCAGGCTGGAAGAGGAGGCAAGGCTCCTTGCTATGGAGCTGAAATTAGCTGGGTTGCCTGTTTGCTCTGCTGCCGCGGGAACAGCCGCCATAGTTCGCTTGGCTGATGATTGTCACTGTGACAGTGATTATCTGGGCTTGAACCCTTCATGCAGTGGAAGAGATCCTCTGGATAAAGACGAGAACGAGGGTCCTGATGATCGTGTTCAGCTCGACTCTGAGCGGATGCCGCTCATGACAACACCAGACAATGAGAATGTGACTGCTTCAGCTCGATGTGCCGCTCATCAGATTAGCAGGGATCCGCCCTATCGCACAGCGCTTGCAAATCAGAAGCTGTCGAATAGTGCGTATTCCAAATGTGGCACTGATGAACTCGGAAACCTAGCAGCGTCCATGTTCGACGGATGTGTGGATGTGATGGATTGGTCTGACATGGTTTGCGTGGAGGCATCACAATCACTCACTCCTCCCAAAGGTGTGTTTTGTGTGTGTGCATGCATGTGTGTGTGTGTGTGTGTGTGNTGTGTGTGTGTGTGTGTGTGTGTGTGTGTGTGTGTGTGTGTGTGTGTGTGTGTGTGTGTGTGTGTGTGTGCGTGTTTGTTGTCATATTTGCAATAACCCATGCCATATGTCTCGTGGAAAAACTGAGGGCCCACTCGGCTGCCCTCAGCCCAGGCCGAAACAGGGGCAAAAAGACCCCACACGAGGACTCAGGGCCTGGACATGTGGCAGTTAACTTTGGCCAACTGTCGAGATCCCAACAGTCAAAGTCCAAAGGTACCTAGCCCAGGCCACTGGTCAAGCACACACAATTGTTTGTATGCACCTACCCAGACAGCATCAGGTCCAAGGGAGAAGTCTGCAACTGCACAATCCGGGCCCTCAGCTGTGAGTCAATCTGGACGACTGTGGGGAAAGCACCCGAGGCCAGACAGCCTCGACAATTACTACTTAAGGCTGGCCTCGAGTGAGTCAAGCATTCAGTCTTGCTATGCTGCTTTGACGCTGGCTTGACTTTGGCTAGACGCTGACATTATGCTGGCTCGACGCTGGCCAGACGCTGGCTATGCACTGGCGACGCGGACAACGGCAGAGGCAGCATGCTGGCGCTTCCTGCATTGTACGCCAGGATTGCTGAGGTGGCATGCTGACGTGGCGCTACCTCTGGTCTACATTGCATGATGATGTGGCGCTACCTCTGATCTACATTGCATGCTGATGTGGCGCTACCTCTGGTCTACATTGCATGCTGATGTGGCGCTATCACTGGACTACATTGCATGCTGGTGTGGCGCTACCTCTGTTCTACATAGCATGCTGATGTGGCGCTGCCTCTGGTTTACAGTGCATGCTGATGTGGCGCTGCCACTGGTGTTCATTGATGATGTGGCATATGCCACCTATCTCGACTGCTGACGTGGCATTGTCCACGCTGTCTACATGAGGCGACTGGTTGCGTGGAGGAGGAAGATCGGGATCTGTGGATGAAGGAGATCGGGTACTCACCTGAGGTTGACGTCGACACTGGAATCTGCTATGTCTTCATGGTCTTCACGAGATGAGGTGCCACGTGGCACTACTGTGTGTGATCAGGAATATACTTATTATCATTGTTGATGTGGAGAGGGAAAAGCCCCGGAGAAGGAGAGGGATCTGAAGGAATTATTATTGTGTGATCTTTCATCTTCTCCTTTGTCTGTTCCCCCTCCACTCTCTTCTTTTGATGGTAATGAGATACTGTTTGAGATTTCACTTCACGATTTGGAGACTTTGGTGCAGATAATGAAATTACTGATGCTTGACGGCTTCTGAGTATCTGCCAGACTGGCTTCATTACATATTCGCTATACACTCAAAAAAAGCATGACTGTACCAGACTGTTTCGTCGGACTTTCACCGACTCATCAGGAAGTTGAACCCCGACAGTCTGCCCAGGATTCATTTGACTGTGTGTGTGTGTGTGTGTGTGTGTGTGTGTGTGTGTGTGTGTGTGTGTGTGTGTGTGTGTGTGTGATCATGCAGGGCTGGGAATGGAGTGAGTTTGTGTGTGTGACATGTACGCATTTTAAGTTTGAAGTTTTGAACTACTTTATCTTCAGTTGATGTATTCTCCCTCCGTCTCGCTGTGCTTGATCATCTGTTCCCTTTTGTGTATGTGTACCAGCACGTGTCGGACAGCATTTTTTCTGTATGTGTTCCATGCTGTGTGTGTGTGTGCGTGCATGTGTGACACTGTGTGCTGTAGATTGTCACGAGAACAATCCCTTTTCCACCCAAATGTGTAAATTATGTTTTGATGTCATTGTTATATTCTTAAATATGTGTGTGTGTGTGGGGGGGGGGTGTTGGAGAGAGAGAGAGAGAGAGAGAGAGAGAGAGAGAGAG